GTTTTAACGATTCAAGTTGTCTGCTCTCTAAGAATTGGTGTTTCGGTGTGTCTTTGGACGAAAGTCGAAAAACTTATTTCGGTGGTCTGGTTCTAAGTCGCTCTTCAAAATAAATTGTTCTTGGGTTGAAGAGGAGTCCGGAATTTTGCGTGGAACTTGGTCAGCTATCTCGAGGCGGCTTCAACTCTGGAAACTCAACTCCGCCGCCAGGGCCCGAAGTGATTTCTGCCTGTTGGGGCCTCGTTTTTATTGACGACCAAAACCGGGGTGGTTCTGTTGGCGTCGGGGGGTTTCTCGATAATTCTAAATACATATCCACCTCTTTTATTTCTGCTTAGGGATTTTCCACTCTTTTCCATTTTTTGGTAACCCCTCCTCACTCCCACTTTCTCACCATACCTCTGAGGGGAGTGAACTACTCTCCCCACTTCTTCGTAGCAGCTTCTCATACTTATACTCTAGATGGGGCGTTGACAGCCTTCTTCGTGCGTCACGTGATCACTCTCGGCCAATGAGGTCTTGGTCGGGTATCTTTCCTCCTCCTTTGTGCGTCACGTGATCACCACCTGACCAATGATGTCTTAGTCGGGCGTGAACAATCTGCGGCTTTTTTTCGGGGAAAAAAATACCTTGCTTAACAAAAAAAAAAAAAAAATTAATTATCTCTTTTCTTTCCTTTTTCTTCCTTTCAAATCGCCGTTATCATTTATCTAGCCACGAACGGACAATATGACATCTCTTGTTTTACACGTGGTGTTTGTCAATCTATCAAGACGGTTGGTTTTCGTAACATGGGTTCAGAAAAGAAATATCCCCAAAATTTTCAGTCAGTCTGTCGCCTCCAAGGAAGAAATAAAAACACTTCTGGTTCCCATTCATTTTCCTTCGGTACATATGTCTGATAACATAATTTTATTATCGCAGGGCAAGGTTGTTTCGTCGAAAAGAATTCAGTCAGCTGCACTGCTTGGGTGGGATTTAATTTTTCATATCTGTCCAAAGTCCTTTTTAGTGGCCTGTTTCTTGTTACTTATCGAAATAGCATTTTCACTTGAATTTTTCCTGGGCAGTGGTCCAGCCATTCGTGTACGCACCTAGATAACATAGCCGTTATCCAAACACATCTGGTTCCTTCTTTCTTTTCCTTTTCTTTTTTTACTCAGAAATTCCCTGTCATTGTAATGACACACTTTTTCACTTGTTACTTATCAATATTTTCATTGTCTCTTAGGCCATGTGTGTGGCTGTTTTATCACCTACGATTCGTCTCGCCTTTCTTTCTGCCTTCCTTTCTTTCTCTTTCTTTCTATGCCTCGTAAATGGTGCCACAATTGTTTTATGTTTTTCTCAGGTGGGATTTGTTAGATTTATTCATGTAAATTTAAACCTTACGCCTTATGTAAGTTTTTTTTCTTAAATGCTTCTAAAATAAATGTATTTTCAAATTAACTGGTTATAATTGGATTAATTTATTAATATCTTATACCATACGAGCAATCTTGGGGGTAGAAAAATGGGATTTTGTTTCTGCAACAAACTGAAGTTTATTGCATCTTTCTTTGAGGAAAAAGTATTAGAATTTAATTTGAGAAAAACAACTACAATATATTACAGGTTCATATTCTCGCCTCTTTTCTAATCCTCATCCTAACTTTTTTGCTTTGCTTTCAAATCCGGCTCCCAAAACCTTGTTTCTTATCAGAGATAAGGATATATTCTCTGACAAACGAGAGAGTTGGAAAATATAAAAAGGAATTTGACCACCATTACCCTGACCATGGTGCCATAAATTCTGAGTGTAACGCTCACAACTTGTCGGACCCTTGCTTCTAATAAGCAGCTCCCTAAACCTGGATTCTTATCAGAGATAATAATATATTTTCTAAAAAATGAAATGACCAAGAAATTTGTATAGCAATTTTGGATGAAAAAGTTCACGATATTTTCTAAGCTTCCTAATCTCCATAAAATACGCCTGTTTGGAAGTGAGTAATCAATAATCGTCTGTGGTAACATCAGGTCGGCAACAGAAAAGCAATCATCTTCAAGAAAGTACTGAGCTGTAAAGACAGAACGTCGGCCCACTGCTAAAAACTAATTGAGATCTGCTTCCTTGTAACTAGAAGATTTCTGTCGCCAGCCAACGAACTTGTTGTAGGTCGTATGCTGAGTGAGGTGTATCAGAAGGTAAATTTTTATAAGGTGAAAGTTATCCGTGTTTGCAATTGGATAAACAGAATTATTGTTGATTTGGTAATTGAGATAATGTTGTGAAGAATGTTCGTGCAGAATTGTGGTAAGTAAATGCTGATGCTTTTGGCTTGTTATTAAAATTAAAATAATTTTTGTTTCTGTGTAGTAAAATATTAAAATGTATTGTTCAACTGTTAGTGTGTGTGTGCGTGTGTTATTTATGAGTCAGAATTAAAGTTGCTAAGAGTTGTTTGCCTTTAACTGATAGTCTAAATTGATGAATGTACAATTACTTTGACGAAGTGAAAATGTTCACTCTTTAAGTCAATTGTAGGTAATAAATATCCACTCGGACAATGGTTATTTGAATGCTGCGTTGAGTTTGTTGAGAAACTTTAAGTGGTTGCGAGTCAGTAAATTGAACAGCGTGGAGTTTGTATGGATCTCTTGAAATTTGATGACTCACTGACTTGAATTGAGTCATGTGTTTGTTTATATAGAGTTGGGTGTTTAAAATTTGGCTCTAGGGACCTTAGGCGGGAAAAGGTTCTGTTGTGACTTTGCTACAGTTTTAATCAATAGAAGATTGAATTTTACTGAAACGAAATGTTGATTGGTTAACATTTTTTTCCGAAAGGGGTAGAAGGTTAATATGCAAGATTCCACAAACTCACTCAACTACGAAATTCATATCGTCCGACAGTTTCCTCCTATACATGTACTCTGAACAAATCTGTGAGTGTTTTAACTTTTAACAACAATCTACTATTCGCTTAAAAACTTCTGAGGCGCTCAGAAAAATATTTTGAGCAAGGCTTTTCTTTTTTATGAACATTTCTTCTTCCTTTAAATGTTAAAGAAATTCTCTTTCTTTCTCTTGTAATTGTGTATATCTTTATACCGTATATCCATTTTTGTGCATGTAAATAAACATTTTCTTCTTTTATTATTACGCACCGAGCAGGATTTTGAATCTTTATTCTTGCGCCTGAAAGAGTCGCCTAAAAAGAGAGAACTATCAGCTCTAATCTTTCAATTTTGTCGCAATTTTAAACTCAACCGTTTCATCTGGGTAAGCCGGGACAAATTTACCACAAATTTACTGATACAAGTTTTACTAATTAATTCATAGCTAGGAGAGAAGTAGTGGATTCATACCTTCACCAAGTGCGTTTGCGTTTAAGTGAATATAATGGACCCAACTGGAACTTGAACTCGGCAACTCTAATTAACAGTTTCCACTGCACCACCCGCACATCCAAGATGACAGTATTCGCAAGTGGTCATCTATCTAGGCTTGATGTTGCTTAACTTCGGAGATGGTACGAAAATCGATATTTCAATGTGATGTGGCCGTAAGCTCATTGCATTTTCCTTCACGTAAATACTGAAGGTTAAAACATGACATCCTGAAGAGGCGATGTTATTGGTTATCCAATTTTCTGTCTAAATTATTATCTAAAATGAAATAAAATTGGTTTGTAAGAGAGTATATCCTTATAATTTTGTTTATAAGTCAAGAAGGTTTAGTTTGGGATTTTACCAGACACTACTTTCGAAGATTTAAACATCTGTTAACAGATACGTTATTGTGTGAGAATTTAATAAAAATATTTTATCATTTATATTTATTGAATAAGCTTGCTAGAATTTTAAATATTCGAAGAGGTAATTGTCCAAAAATGTGGTGTTCAAATGTTTGAAATAGTTTTCGCTAGTCTATGAGGAGCTCTTCCCAAAACAAAGATGTCGTATAGGAATGTCTGCTTTCGAGATGAACATAAGATTTGAGAATTTTAGGGTGATATTCAATCTTTTTTTTACCATGTTTTTTTTCCTTACTATTAATTAACTTGATTAGTTTATCTCACAGAAATTATTTTATGTTTATCGATTTTCCATAAACATTGAGTAAAAGTTTATAAAAAATTGATGAAAATAAAATGATCTTTTCTTGTTATCATGTTAAACTACACTGATAAGTATACAACTAAACGTTACCGAAAATGCGTTACGAAAAATTATGTAACTCATCCACAACAACGAAATAAAATCTAGAATAATTATAGGTTTCTAGATCATTTAGAATGTGTAACTTTAATGAAGAAAATATAACCGGTGTTTGCTATATCCACCATCCACATTTTTCCTTTTTTTATATAAAAGACTAATTCCACCAATAAAATCGTTATTAATCTGAAGAAGTTATTTTCCAGAACGAAACGCGGCACTAAGAAGTTTGCAACAGATAGAGGAAGAAAGAGAGAGAATTGTTCACAAACACCGCTAAATTTAACTGTGATGCATATAGTATGCTTTTAGTTTTAGTATATATATAACTATGACAAGACATACACGTGTATATGATGTTTTACCTTTAAGAACTTGAAAAACTACTTAACAATCAACGTGACGCATTCTCGCAGAGGTAAATTCATGTACTTATATATTATAGATAAAATAAAAAATGACATTCAGAGCTGACAAGAATTCAAAAAGGTCGAGATAACTTTTGCAGTTCTAATGAAAAATTATTACTTTGTGTTGTTGTTAATTTTTCTGACGAACTTTATGCACGCACGTACTCGTGTGTGTGTCTGTGTGTGCGTGTGTGTGAAACAGCCCCCCCCCTCAGGTTATTTTACCTTGCCCTAATTTCGCACCCTGACTTGAATAATGTATTTGTGTTGTTATTTGAGCTGGGATTAAGGTATGTAAAACACTTTTCAAATATATCAGCGTTTTACTGTTTTTCAACGCTTATTTTAAAGATTTTGTCATTGTTGTTTTTGTTGTTTTAACTTCACAAAGTATTTGTTTTCGTCTTGAAAAAATAGATAGATAGATAGATAGATAGATAGATAGATAGATAGATAGATAGATAGAGATCCTAAAAGATTAGTTATTTAATATCGAATTTGGATCAAACTCACTTCAATTAAAACTAGAAAGTGAGCGAGAAATGCCAAGAAATGAGTAATTCCTGTTGCTACTAATTTGATCTTCAGCTAAAAGAGGATTATTAGACTGAATTTTCGCTGGCACAATGTTTATAAACGTGTTTAACAAGCTCGCTATTCAGACATATTCATCGCCATACTGCTGTGGTCTCGTACCAAACAAAGCCACATTCCGTAAATAACAATACAGACCAGTCTAGGCAGTGTTAAAATGACTTATCTATGAACGAATTGTTGCTGACCTGATTTCGTACAGTTTCCGTGACAAAAATGCAAAAGAATCGTGTAATCTTTTAGGTCAGGTAATAACCCACTCAATAAAATAATAACTCAATAACTCACTCTTATTCTGTAACTCTCAACATCGAGTGGCTCAAGGGCCTTGCTTAGGGTGTACATCATTGTAAAAAAAATAGGGTTGAGTTTTTACCTTAGTAAAGCAAGATTTTTTTTTTACAATTTTTCTAAGCATGTGAGCGTTGCTCACTAGCACAATATTTTGTATCTCAGAAGACGATAGTGTCTCCAAGTTGGGTGGTTGAATATGCGGGTAGTGTAATAGAATTGTTAATCAGAAAGCAGAGTTCTAATTCCATTTGGACTCGTTATATTGACTTACGCATAAATACCCTTGGGAAAGTTTTGAATCTTTTCCTACCCCTCCACCTGCTATGGGTTAATTAGTAAGACTTTTATCACTAAACCATAATTATAAAAATATATAAAAATCTGAAAATATTTTCTGGCTTTAACGTGCAGTGGGTTGATAAACCGTAAAAAGCAATCAAACAAATAATCTTATTATTATTTTTTGGTGCTGGAGTTACTGAAAGCTTCATATTTTTAATTCAATAATATTAATAATAAATTACTATTTAATACTTAACAAGTTATAATAAATTATTAATAATTACCCCATCACAGGTTGTTTATAGGATCGCAAATTTCACAGATAACTGAGAAAAAAAATACGTCATAGCTTTCATTCACTGTCATGCTTGGAAAAGAAATTGTTCAGTCACTGACAATAATCATGGTTGAATGAAGATATTTCCAGCTCAAATAACACAAATACCTTATTCAAGTCAAGGAGCGAAATTAGGGCAAGGTAAAATAACCTGGGAAGGCTGTTTGGTAATTTCACACACACACACACACACACACACACACACACAAACACGCAAACACACACACACACACACACACAAACACACACACACACACACACAAACACACACACACACAAACACACACACACACAAAAGTACGTGCGTGTATAAAGATCGTCAGAAAAGTTCACAACAACACAACGTAATTATTTTTCATTAGAACTGCAAAAGTTATCTCCACCTTTTTAAATTAGGGTCCTCCGGTTTTTCATAGCGTAATGAAAAATGCCACAAACTTAACGAAAATAAAGTTTTATCGTCAAAATGCTTATGTTATTATTAAGATGAAAGACCAAAGTATATTTTAATTATTTTTTGAAATTTCGCTAAATATTTTTATTTTATGTCTTTACGTTAGTGCAGGGCTTACTTCAATTGAGTAATCATGGTATTTCATTTGTTATTAAATTATAAAATTAATTGAAGAAAATTTTATACTATTTTAATTTTTTTTTGATTTTTGCATCTTCGAAAGGTAAATAAAAGTCAATAAAATATTAAATAATTGCGGAAAATATGTTCATTTGTAAAAATTACTAGGTAGTTAAAAACCCAAAATATGCGTTCACTTAGAATTTTGACAATTAGGTCATCCATAGTAGCTGTCATCGTTTCGTCTATCAGCAGTCCATCAAACGTGGGATCAGATGAACAGGACCAATCGTTAATAATTGGTTGTATATTATTTTTTTATGTTATAAGTAAGTAATATTTTCAAATCAGATTAATTTAACTTTAAATTTTCTAATTTTACTAAAATAACGTGTCAGAAATATATATTTATTTTTTGAATGAATTTTAAAACAGAAAAAAACTTGTTTTGTTTACAAATTTCTTAAAATTAAGAAAATGGCCGTTTTTAAGAAATAAAAATTAAATTTGACATTCCAATCTATATAATTTCTATCTGAAATACACTAGAATATTTTACTTAACGGAAATAATAAATTTAATTGTTAAACTTTCAATTAAAGCTAAAATGAAATATTCAAGAAAGGTTTTAAAACTTAGGTATCAAAAATTTATGCCAAAAAAGTGGAGGTCCCTATTTTAAATACTTGTCAACTCTGAATGTTATTTTTTTTTATAGTTTTTATAATATATAAGAAAAGTACATGAATTGGCCTCTGATATCTTTTGGCTAAACATTTAGACGTGCACGCTGAAAATTTGTTTGGGCATGCGCATTGAAAATCAAGAAGAATTTATGGAAATGACAGTAAATTTTCAATCAAAGGATTTGATAACCCGATTTATCCTATATTGCTGCGGTGTCTTCTTTCGTTTCATCGATCTGTCGTTCCATCTCACAGTGCGACCAAAAACGCAGTATTTTGGGGGTCGTCACTTCGTGGTGTTTTTTTTTTAACTTCAAGGTCATCTTATGTCGATGTCAGCAAACCAGCAGGTAACCAGATTTCTCCGGGTGGAAAGCAGGATTCCGTGAAGTTTTTGGTGTGAGACTCACGCATATTTTTAATTAATTCTTTCTTTAATTTCGTGAAATCTTATTAAAAAAAATATGCCCTCTCTAGCAGGATCGAACCTGCAAAGATTCTTCGTGGCCGAGTCAGTTAAGGCACGTCGGATCTAAAGGTGGTTTCCATCTGTCTAAGGTGTCATGGGTTTGAATCATATCGAAGAGCGCATATTTTTTCTTTAATAAGATTTCTAAAAGAAAAAATTAGGCCGGTAAACGAAAATAAATAAATATAATGTTTATTAAATAAACGGAGCCTCTACTCAGATATGAATATCCACTAAAAATAACATTTAAAGTGATAAAAATCTGTCTGATTAATAAATAAAGGATGCATTACCTCATTCATATATATATATATATGTGTGTGTGTGTGTGTGTGTGTGTGTGTGTGTGTGTGTGTGTGTGTGTGTGTGTGTGTATACTGAAGTCAACACCAAGCAGCGAGAGTCTGTTTCATGCGTGAACACGATCTTTAGGCCATGTGTGTTTGTCTTTTGGAGCTACTGGTCAATGGTGCTTTATGGGAGATATGTCAATTGTACTTGGTGGGCTTGGTTAAAACCAAGCCCACCAAGTACAATTGACATATCTCCCATAAAGCACCATTCTAGACTAGAAATAATTGTGGATTTTAATGCGATTATTTGTAGCTATATTATAGTGTTGTTAACTTTTTACTCATTATTTCTATTGGTTACTTAATTATTTGTTGTTGATTATTATTATTATTACATGTACTTGTGTTTATGTGTGTATTCGTAGTTTTTTAACTTGTTTATTATTTACTAAATTTGTTGATTTCATTATTTACATTTTTTTTCAAGGTTTGGTTATCTTGTTTCTTTAGTTTAGATTTTGGCTAGTCTAAAGTATACTACAATGTCTATGTTGTATATAGTGCATGTATTTACATTTTTCATCCTGGTATTTTGCAAGATGTTCGTTTTTAGTCTTCGTTTTTAAGTAATGCATATACAATTTTGTGTTTGCGTGCATTTTGTGATAAGTTCCGATCATTGATTAAGTAATTTGTGTTGGTCTGAGAAGGTGATTATAATTTTCTCCTCCGGACAAAGTTTACAGTATTTGGATTTATTGTTGTATCCTTATACTGTTTTCCTTATTTTCCGTGATATTTTTTGTGTAAATTGTTTTGTTTTGATTTTTTTTTTAAATTTCCCAGATATTTTTAGAAAGCATTGTGCTGTTCGCGTATTTATTATTTGTAAAGAATGTTTTATGTGTGTAATTTCTCTGTATCCAGGACACTTCAGTTACTTCTTTGTATATTTTTCTTCAGTATCTGCTGATTTTACGGTGGCTTTGTATATTATATTGTTTTGCAAGCAATTGTCATTTAACGGGCATTCATTCTTTGCTCTGCAGTTACAGGTAGATTCGGTTTGTGTGAGATATTTTTCTGATATGATATAAAACACAACATAAAAATATTATTTGTTATGTCATCGGTGTAACTGTTGAATATCTTATGGAGCGTAGTTGATGAGATGTTTGTTTTTACGTTTTTGTTCTACGGTCGGTTCTTCTTCTGTTGGTTTTTTCTTTTGTATTGTGTGGTGCGTATGCGAGTGATGTGGAAAACCCACTATTTTTTAGGTCTGTTTCATAATCTATAGGGATACGGTTTCATAACCCCAAAAACAGACACAACCAGAAAAATAATCATAAAAAGTTTCAAAAATATGGGACTAGACTTAGACATAAAAACTGAACTAAAAGAAGTATATTTCCTAGATATCTCAGTCATCCTAAAAAACGCATATATCAGACACATAGAAAATCCAACGACAACTTTACACACATCTTCCAGTCAACCTCCAACAATACTCAAGTAGATACCATAATAAATTAACCATAGGTTATCTTACAATGCTTCCAAGGAAACCATCTTCAACGAAACCAAAAAGGATTATGAATATGACTAGTATATATAAATAATCGAGCCAACAACAAATACGAAGATTGCTTTCAAGCGTGAAACAGACTGTCGCCGCTTGGTGTTGACCTCTTTGTCCACTTTAATATTTATATAACTTAAAACTATGTTTTTGTCATGCATATATATATATATATATATATATATATATATATATATATATATATATATATATATATAACTAATTCATCCCTAAGTTTTCAGCTAAAAGTGTGATTCATGCTAGCGACACATTTAACCTAAAAGGTTGACACTTTATAATCAGTTCTTCCGTATTTTTATTTGTTTCTTTGTTTCTTTTTTATGGCCTCATAACAGTTCTTGTACTTTTTCATTAATTCACAACACCATGCAACCAACTGGACCACTCATGCATTTATGTGTGTACATATTTTTACGATATTTCTTTTCTATGTACATTCAAAGCATAGTAATTCTTCACTGTTAGAGCTCAACATCATTTTTTTTAATTATTAATTCTTTTAATTGTCTTTTCATCTCAGCAGGTTCCGCTGTCAACTCTCTACCTTCTCAAAACCAAAGGAAATCTCCATTGTTTTCGCCTTTACCTTTCGCTCCGATCTCAGGTCTCAATGAGTTTATCCCTACTTTGGTTCGATTTCGTCTATATTTTAATTTAATTATTTGTCCTATCAAGGTTATTGCAATTTTTATTATCAAGGTCCCAATGTGTCAGTTCTCCGCTTTTTATTGACAGTCATTCCGTCAGATATAATTCTTATTCTGTCTACTAATTGCTGTATGTTATTCTAGTCCACAGTAATGGAGGTAAATCACGTCGGGAAGATGCTATGGAAGAAAGGTTTATTCTCCCATTTTCCGTTTCCCCATTATTGGCATTATTCTATCCATTATATAATAACACCTTATTTCACCTTATTTCACGGACGGAATGGAATAGCTAAAAGAAAAAGAATGACATGCTTTTGTTCTCAGAGAGAGTTTTATGCCGTACAATAAGTTTTTAAGTCGTACAAAATTATATATACATATTTATTCGTGTCCCACAATGAGCAGTGCGAAAAGAGAAAGAAAAGATAGGGATTTTCAAATAACATGGAGATACGTCTGTGTTTCTGGAGATTCTTCTTTTTCTGGAGAAGCAGATTCGAGTGAGCCGGATTTATCTGCTATGTCTCTTGTGAGGACATATTCTGCAAACGGGAAAACAGTGAGTCCTGGATTTTCCCAATATGAGGATTGCGAGCTGGAAATATTTTCTATATCTGGTGAAGATATATTTCCATAGCGCCATATGCTTGTAAGCTGTCCCACATGGCAGCTGGTTGGTATAGGCAAATTTAGCTTCCGTCAAGGCGAGGTACAGGCCTCGTCCGGGCTAAAAAAGCAACTGCTCAGTTTGATTCCTGGAAGCGACTTTCATCACTGTATAAAGAGACGCCACTAAGCGAACTTACCACGTGACTTCATCTCGACCATATCGGAGACATCGGTATCGTATGAGCTTGGATTTCAGAGAATTCTTTGGTTAGTGGTTCACATAAGCCAAGTCCATTCACTTGCCGGTACGTTCAAAGGGAGACAAGGAAGAATCTCTATTGTTTAACTTATAATATGGCAACAAAGCTTATGTTTCCCCAAAAGCTGAACATCTCACTTATAAATCAACAGTAGCTAATGCAGATGCAGCCTTTATTGTTCCCGTTTTCTCCCCCTTACATACTTTTTCCATCTTCTTTTGTAAGCCTATATCCCATATGCCATTGCACTGCTTGAGGTAGCCATAATGCCTACCTGACAACTTGTTCTTATGACCTCCACATTTCTCTTAAACAATCCAAAAACACACATCTGATGACCACTATTCACATATACTGGACTTTTAGGACAAGTTCCCATTCACTTTATATTCCCTTCAGGTATTAACATCATAAACCTAAGGTTATATTCACGGTTTCTAAATTATGCTTAACATCCCTACCATTTTCCCATCGATGCTTGGGTATAGAATAAGTTTATTATTTTAAACAATTCGAACGTGCTTTCTCTGTCTAGCTAAGGTAGCAATACTAAGACAAATAATTTATCACCATCTATTAAATTAACGCACCCCGGACATTATAGTTGTGCCACGGCATTCCTCCTGCATTTGCTGGCAATCTCAACTGGTGAGACAGTTCTTATCGAATCTTAATCAATAGATTTAGCCATTCATGGATTTCTATACTCGGAGATAATTGTCCCAATAAAAAAAAAACATGTCAAACTGGACCTGGACATTCTCCAATGAGAAACGCAACGTTTGCGACACTTGCCGCAACCGAACATTCACAGCTAACAATCGAAAATATTGCCAAACAAACACACCCGATTCTCCCACCTGAACTTCTACAGCTGCTGTCACATTCCTTAATTCCCAGCCCAGGTCTTGGACCATTGCTAATCAACCAGTTGATAGAGTATCAATTCGTTGATTATCTATTTTTAGCTTGATCAATTCTTGTTACTTGGTCCAATTCCTTCTGATCATCCTCTGGCTTCTCTTCTTCTAATTGTCTTTATATCATCTTCTAACACTGCTCGAATCAGTATATTTTGCGCCTTTGCCACTATGGGTATTGCTGCTCATTTTTCTCCCTTTCTTAATAGCCTATCTATTTAAGATAGACATTCATACATTTTCTTTTACTGTTTAGCCATCATTTTTCCTACCTAAAAGTAGAGAGTAAAGTAGCCTGCGACTCTGGAGACTGGGTATCCATTCATACCACTCGCTTGTGCTAGTTCAGCTCCCAATTTCCTTAATAATATTTCATATGCTTCCAAATCAATCATAAGAGTTATCATCCACTTGAATCCTGTTCTAGTTACTTCACTTCACTGATCTTATCGTATTCCTCCTCAGTGCGTCTGAAGTCATCAACATGTCAAAGATCTATCATCCGCAAGGACTACACCCCTTCTTCTTTTTCACCACATATATTTATCTGGCTTATCACGTTAGTCTACACTTCTAGCTTTTAATGCATTTTAATATTTTCCCTTACTTTTCTTCTGATTGTTTCTCTTTTCTTTTCTTCGCACACGCTTCGGTATACTCTTTCTTCCAGCTTCCAACACTTTAATTTTCACTTTACTTGCAATTTCTTTCTGGCCATCCATCATCTCTTTATTTAAACACTTCTTATTTTAATTCCTTTTTGTTTCTCCTGATATCGACTCTTCTGAACACATATTATCTGTCTACTGATACTTCGCAACCCCGTCTTTAATGGTAAATCTCAGTTATTTTGATTTTCTTTTTATCTGCATCGTTCCTTTTCAATTCAACTGAAGGGATCTCGTCCTAAGTAACCCATTCTTCGCAGCTTTCCATAACAGAGCTCTTTTCTATTACGTTACCAGCACCTTTTAATAATTTCACAAGCAAGATGATGAAAGCCAATAAGATGCAAGAGGTTACTGAAAGTGAAAGAAACAGAAAGGACAATAAAAGAACAGGATTCAAGGAAACAGAAGATGACGATTGACATTACATTTAAATTTTTGAAGATCAGGAAAGCAGGAAACCGTAAGAGATTTCCATGAGCAAGAAGGGCGGGAGAGGCAACTGTTAGGATAGAACTTAGGGTTACATCTATCAAATTCAGCATTGAAATGATGACATTTAATTACCGTTCTTAATTTCGTAATGTCGACGTAGCAAAGAGAAGATGTCATCAGAAGAATTAGCATTAACAAAATATTCATCGAAAACTCACAGGGAAACTACGTTTTGGCAACTGCAGCCGAGATGCTAGTACATTGCAGAGTCGTTTTTGGATTTTGTCAAGAATCTCTAGATAGATTGCAGAAGCTCAGACCAGATGTGGCAGCAATATTCAATGCACAGACGAATAACGGTGCAAGATAGACTCTGGCGAGAAAATAAATACCTAGTATGACATAATGAACCAACTTTCCTAACAGCAGACTTAACAATTGATTCAATCTTCATGTCATTGGCAAACGTGAGACTTAAATCATTAGTGTACGCTCTCTTTGTTCTCATTGACAATTGGTCCAACATCACAAAAGTGACTGGTCCGATTTGTTCTACTTTCTTATAATAGATCCTCCGTTTTTAGTCCAACTTACTTTATCTCACTCACACTTTATAAAAGACAGGGATCTCTTACACTTAGATTTACTTCCAGTCTCTCTGTATTAATCATTCCCGGCGCAGTATTGGTCATAACCAAATGACGACCAATATTGTGGTTAACAAAATCTGCATTGGAATGATATAATATGCCACACTCATCACATGTAAATTGATGGATTTCAGGTTCAATTATTCTCTCTTTGCGATTTGCATGTTCTTGAAAGATGTTTGTGCCTTCATAAATTGTATACCTCCACTTATATCGATTAGAGGCAGACGTTATTCACTCAGGATCTTCTATATGGCAGGGTGGAAGGGACTCTTTTTAAACAGTACTTGGAGCGCTTCCCTGCTATGTACTCGAGTTGAGTGCCGTAGAGTATTTCCCTTGGGTCATTTGCTGTCTTCAAGACAAATGCTATGACCTACCCAGCAAAGATTGTGCACTTCGATGCTGATTGCAGTAACCTTTTCGAGAACCACTGGGGTGTGGGATATCCAGTGCACACAAAGAAGCATCGGTGATGTCGCACTAGAGCGGTACATAATCGCTGCCTCATAGGAGTATACAATGCACGTCAACACAGAGGCATTGTAGACTGCCATTTTTGAAAATGGAAAATAACGTAAGTGCTACAAGTTCACTTCGCTTAACCCCATTTCATACTGTGGTGGATTTTAAAAATAAACCACCAACCTTAACAGATGTGTCCATGTCATCATAAACCTTAACAGATGTGTCCATGTCATCATAAACCTTAACAGATGTGTCCATGTCATCATAAACCTTAACAGATGTGTCCATGTCATCATAAACCTTAACAGATGTGTCCATGTCATCATAAACCTTAACAGATGTGTCCATGTCATCATAAAACAACTGGATATTATGTACGAAATGGTGTGGACAGCATAATATTTTTGTACACTTCTTAATTCTTCTCTGAAACCAGACTCGATCTGCAAATGCATCAATTGCTTACCTCATGTAAACAGATATTTCATCGTCAACGGGGAAGTTCAGTTTGTGGCCATCCAAAAATATTGATGCAAGTTGAGCTCAAAGTAAGTTTGAACATGACCACTGTCTTGCCCAGGCTGATAGTAAGACTGAAATCTGTGCAGGTACGGAAAAGAACGGGAAAGGCTTGCATATGATGTTCCGCTTGGAATCACTTAGATTTAGCAGAGAAGCATCGAATGTCGAGTAGTTTGCTATTTGTACGATATCGTATACCAATGATAAGTAAATAAAAAGAAAAAATCGAAATATATTATCGCTAAATTGTTGATATCCCCTGAAGAGTAGACGGACATGTCGACCCTCGAAACTCCCGAGTCAGAATACTGAAGGTAACATCAATCAGCTAAGTGACAAAACTTTACTCCTATTAATACTATATATCTATATCTACCTATCTATCTATATCTATCTATCTATCTATCTATCTATCTATCTTTATATATATATATATATTACAGAACTTAAAGTCGTAGAGAAGAACCATGGAAAGGAAAATGGTAAATAACGTAAGTGCTACAAGATCACTTCGCTTAACCCCATTTCATACTGTGATGGATTTTAAAAATAAACCACCAACCTTAACAGATGTCATCATAAAACAACTGGATATTATCTACGAAATGGTGTGGACAGCCTAATCGTCTCATAATCTTCCATATAATTTCTCTGTTAAAGTGTCTAAGATTTGTGAAGATCTGAAACAGGCCTTGTTGTTGCTCATACGACTTTTATTGGATTTGTCATACTATGAAAATAATATCAATCGTTCTTCTCTTAGGTGGGAAGCCAGACTGTAACTCTGGCAACAAAACCCTCGTTGAAATTTTACCCGCTACCGAAAATAAATTTCTACCACAATAACGCCTTCACAGCTGTCTTCTACCTTTACCTTTTATATACTGAAATCATGATCGTATTTCCCCAGACCTTTGGAATTTTTTCTGAATTCCAAATCCCCACCCATACGAAAAGGTAGAGTGATGCGATTTGATATTTTTTTAATTTCGCACAATACGACATGCCGTTTCTAAATTTCGAGTGGAGTGAATTGCGTCATTGTCCTCTTTTTCTCACAGACCCAACTGACCCTATTATAATGTGCAGTCGAAAAAATCAAAATCAAATAACGCGCATGCGCGAAATTAAAAATATAAAATTGCGACAATTTACCCACCGTAACACACACACACACACACACACACACACATATATATATATATATATATATATATATATATATATAATCAATTGATAGGTGAATATTTCTCAATAAAATGTACTACATATGGGTATTAATTCTGTTGTGGATTCCGGGGATGGAATCTTGCACAAATAAATAAACAACGCCAGTAATTGAAATAGAAAAATATGTGTATAAAACGTAAGAATACAAACTTGAAATGAAGATTAGTAGTCTAGGAATGCGGGTTAGTAGAAAAGTATATGTACAAGTCTCTGTAAGTGAAGCCGTAATTATCTCTCTTTCCGGACTCTCGTATAACTCTGAGTGAACACCCTGTGTCGACGTTCTTCTCACGCTATCTCTCCGTAGTATAAGTATACTTTGGACGAGTCCATCTTGTGAACAAGGGGCGAATCCCACAATAAATTCACTATGATGCCAGTGATTAGCACCGCATAAATTATTTTTTAATCTTTAAAAACTTCCCACTGATCTTGAGTGTAGAGGCTAATGGTTACAGGAAGTCAAATTTTCTTTGTCTCAATTTAATTATGTCTATTGCTACAATTTTAAATATAAATAAAATTCTGTTTTCATAGGTATAAGTCGTAAGATCATCATCTTTATGTTTCTAAAATCCTAGATACTCATGAGATGGGAATATTAGTTAAGTATCCTTTTATCTCCCCGTCTACCAATTTTGCGTTGTTTTTTTTTTTTTTTTACTTTTTATATTCCTTCTTTTTCTTTCTTTCCAGATTAAAAATTAGAATGAATTCTCGGCAACTTCTCTGCTTTTTCACAATTCTTTTTAGCATTTGCAAAAATGGAGCAGACAGTGAAAAATTGCTCGCACTGCCATTACCCATTCAAAATCACGTGATAGAGATGAATACCATTAGTAAAGAGCTGGTAAAACGTGGTTACGAAGTAGTTTTCTTTTTACCGCGTGGTTTCGATATTAACCAATTAGGACAGAACACACGCGTTGTCAGATATGGACAAAAAATTGTGGAAAAAATAAATCATTTTTTCAGTCGAGTAAACGAACAAAATAATAAGCTGAACACACTGACGAAAATGAGTGGCCTTCGTGAAATTATTTGCTCTCACATTTACAAAGATGTTAACTCATTGAAAAAGCTTCGAGAGGAGAGGTTTGATTTTGCCATTGTTGACTTTGTTTTCTTTCTCAAATGCCTCTACCTGGTCCCTTATAATCTATCTATCCCATTTGCCAGTACCGGAAGACATATTTCCCGGTTGGACATTGGACATCCGGTGACAGCCAGTTTGTCATATAGGTCAACTTCATTCAAGCTTGAAATTCCATTTCACGAACGTGTCATCAATTTATTGTACCAGTTTCTCTCTAGGCTATTGGTTAGTTATTTTGTGCCCAGGATTGACG